GGGTTTAGGGTTTAGGGCCTACTGTACCCTCCATGAACCTTTCAGAAATCCCTTATCCATCAAGGTGCTGTCCAGCCTCGCTGTAGTGGAGATCTCGCCCGCCGGTTATGAGGCCTCCGTGCGCCTTGCAAGAATTTATGATTTAGGGGCACCCTAAACCCTAAACCCCCCGAGCCCGAAGCCACTGGATTACTTCGAGGGTTTAGGTGTAGGTTCATTGGGACGGGTTCGGCCTTCTTCGCTTGCACACGCACCCACACCAATTCCACTAGCATAAAGGGCTGAATGTTCAGTAGTACTGCTTCACAATTTCCTCATGCAAATCGTGATCTGCAACCATCCAAGCCCTCATGCCATAGTTTTAAGGCCGCCACAGTGTATCGGGGGATCCTAAACCCTAAACCCTACACCCGTAAAGCATTTCTATGAAGTATCAGCAAGGTCACGGCAGGGCCAGGCTCGGGAATTCATGCGAAAGTATGGTGGGTTTCTGCAGGGGATTGGGATTTAGGGTAAGGGCTTAGGGTTTAGGTTTAGGGCTTGGGGCTCAGGGCTTAGGGTTTAGGGCTTAGGGTTTGGGGTTTGGGGCTTTGGGTTTAGGGCTTAGGGTTTAGGGTTTAGGGCTTAGGGTTTAGGGTTTAGGACACATCGAGTCCCGTACCTGAACCTTAGGAGGATGAGGATGTCCCTGGGTGCAACTGAAGGCTCTCGTTGGGTCCTTCAGGTTTGGCTTGCAGGGTTAAGGGCTCAACGATTTTGTTTGAATAATGCTTTGGTTTCGGGGTGTATTTTTTGCAAGAAATTCGATGGTCCTTCCGTTACCTTGTGCAGTGCATTATTAGAGGACTGGGACGTGTCTTTGAGCCCTGATGTCTGCAGCTTCCTGTTTGAGGCCTGAGTCCCCGAAACCTTAACCCGTTAAACCCTTAACCCTAAACTGGCAACTGGCTCATCCTCACTAGGACTTGTGGAGGCTTGGATCAGCTGCGCGAAACAAAGCAAAGTCCTGCAAAAGAAGAGCCAAAGTCCGCAAATAATCCTACCAGACCCCGACCCCAAAGCCAAAACCCTAAGCCCTTAAGTCATAAAACCCCTACCCCTAAGACCCAAAATCCCAACATGCTAAACCATCAAACGCCTAGTCCCTAAGCCGATTCAAGAACCATAAGCCAATCTCGCCGAAACTCGAGGTATGAGTTCCTGACGTCCATCCACAACGCCGGAATCACTTTGAGCACTAGCTCTCTTCAGCACAAGTTTGTGTGCTTTAGTGACACAGAGTGTGAGCTTAGGGCTCGTAGTTTTTTGCGTAGTAACTCCGTGGTGAAGCTCTGCCAAGGAATTCAAACCTGCAGAACTTATTTGTACCGATCTTCCATCTGAACGGCATTGCGCAAGCCTACTTCCCGACGCCCAGTGATCCCAGCCCGCCACAAAGTGAGTCGACTTGGTGGCACTTTGGCACACACTTTTCGTCATCTTCCCTCATGGTCTTAGAGAAGTACCGACTCAGGAGATGTTTTTGGGGACCCCCTTGTTTTGGGGTTCTATCCAGTAGGAGGGTTCCTTCAAGGATCCTTTAAAGGATACTTGGAGGTTCATGGGTAGTTATAAATGGGGTTATAAATAACTATAACTACAAACCATAGTAGGGGAGTTATAACCCTACTTATAAGTACCCCTAAACCCTAAACCCGAAACCCTATAGAACCCTTTAAAGCCCGAAACCCTATAGAACCCTTTAAAGGAACCCTTAAAGGAACCCCACTTATCCATACTTATAACTACCCCTGACTCTCCAAGTAGCCCAGGTTTAACACCGACATGGCCCGGGCGACCTACTTCACGAGCTTCGGCAGCAGGGAGCTTCTCTACGTGCAAACCCTGGCCCGGGCTTAGTTTAGGGTTTAGGGGTTTAG